ATCCAAGTGCCATCTCCAAACGAGTTTTTCTCACTCTCTTTTTAGGTTTCTTTCTCTCTGTTTCTTTAGTCTCTTCTGTTTTCTCATCACTTTCAACATCTCTGTTTTCATTCCTCGCCTCCCCCACTTGTTCTTTTTTTTCATCATTTTCACCGTCTCCTTCTTCCTCTTCATCTGCGTGTACTTCAATGGGCCTTGCTAAATCGTCACCATCCTCTCATCCTGTCGCTCTCGTCTTCTTCCAATTTTCTTTAAGTTGGCATACTTTCCACAACTTTCCAAGGGGATCTGGCGGGTCTATTTCCCAAGAGCTCATTAAGGCTGCTGTAACATTTACACAGTGTTCTCCTTCTTCCACTTTTCTTCAGATTCTTAGTACACTCACGAAATGAACGCTTAAGTGTGTGCATCCTGTTTTTGCATTGTGCACTTGTCTTTTCAACGCCATGACTTCGAAGTGTAGAAGATACGTGTTGATAAATAGCTGTTCTCTTTCTTTTAGGATCTTCCAACTGTTCTTCAATGTCTTTTTCTTTCCATATAGACAGTAGTGTCTCTGTCTCCTCATCAGTCCAGGAGTTTCCTCTTCTACTCATTTTCTGACCAGCCATTTAGCTTCTTTTCACCTCTGTTGCCTTTAACTATATGACCTGTCACCACTACAATCACACCACCAGGGTTATTTTTAGAAATCATGTAATACTTGTCTAATTTTAGCTATGATGAAACTTATTTGCTCATATAAGCAAATGAATTTTGTGTTCACATGACACAAATACTCATATGAGCAAATTTGCTTATATGCAAATTTGCTTTTGCTATACCTCTGGAGTTGTAGTAAATTTTCTACTTTAGCAAATTTGCTTATATAAGTAACTGCGTTCACATGGTCAATGTGGAGTCTCATTAGGAGTAAATTTGCTTATATGAGCAAATATACTCTTATAAGTATACCGTGCCATATGAACGTGGCCTAAGACGTCACAGATTGCCCCTGTTTGAAGAGGTCGTAAAATGATTCACAATGCATCTGGCTCACTGGTTGCACCTGTTAGGTGTTTTTTCAGCTTATTCAGAGTAGTTCTGTAACGCACAATGTGATTGATATAATATCAAGTCCGTACCAGACCGCCAAACTTTTCTAGCGGGAGATCCTCGTTTTGAGATTTCCACGATTTCCAGGTTTCCGTTTGTCAGAGCTCGCCGTACGAGCACGACGTATTTGCAAGGATTAGAAGGAACGTAGTGTTGCAATATACAAGTGCTTAGATGTATCAAATAATACCGATTAATATTTATGTATCCAGTTAAATGAATTGGTCTCAAAATTCTGTACTGGTTATTGTACTAAGTTGCGCAATAGGACGAAACCCAGTCAACAGGAAACGAGACTGTTGTGTAATCAATGTTTTGACTTGTCAGGCATCTGTGAAACATAAAGACTCCAAATTAGTCATTTCCGACCAAACCGAAGCCCATCCAAAACATACCATCCTTTGTATCAACACCAACAAGAGATCAAGGTCATTGCATGCCCCAAGCTTACCATCATCTAATCAAGGTCAGTCAAGAATAACCCTTCACTACCCTTGTTCCATCTGGCTTCATACTCATTATCTATAATCACAGCAACTATCCGTAATGTCATCACACTGCACATCAACCTCCTTCATGTCCTTCATATCCTTCATGTATATATTCTTCTTGTGTATAACGTTGTGTGTCACTTGCCTGAAAACATAGTTAGCATCTACACCGAAACGTCTTTTGCAATACTTAGTCTTTTGCTGTGTTACTGAGTCTTTCAATGTTGACATCAGATCGATCGTCTTCACTTGACGACAGCTCCTCCTGGCTTTCATCGCTGCTGTCATGATTATCTTGACAAACCACGGGCACATATTGGTATGGACGAATATGTGTGAGGCCACTGAGCGAAAATTTCAGCCTTTTCGTGGTATTATAGTCTGTTGATGCCATCGAGAACGTTAGTGAACTTTTCAACAGTACACGTAATGAGCGATCTGCTGCAAGTCGACCGAATACTATGACGTCAGGTCACATGACAGCAACTCTGCCCATTAACTGCCGGTAGTTTCCGGAATGCAAGTAGGTTTTAGCGTTTTGTTGCTATTAATATTGACTTTTGAAAATCAAAATCTTCTACATGTTACTAATTTTGATATGCCTTATAGGTGATTCAATAATAGTATGTTACTGTATATCTCCTTAAACACTCGCAACTGAGTGATCGAGAGGGTTTAAACCACATGATAATATGTGTGTGGTCTCCATTTGAAATGGCAACAGCTCCAGTTTGAAAATGTGAGTGTATCGGTTGTTTAACGAAGCATTCAGCAATATTTAAGCTACATGGCGGCTGTATTTAGGACCAAACAATGGTTGATACTATGAGCAACGACCCATACCGTCGGGGCACGTTGACACGCCACCAATTGATCCACTTGCTTCCTTTCCTCCCGCACAGGCTGCTCGACACCAGGCCTAACCCGGACACCCTACGTTTTTACGAAACTTACATGCATACATCCCAGCGACTCCAGTGATAAACCGATGGACCACAATGCTTATTTGCAAACAGACAATGTGTAATCATTATACATTATAATTCTATAATGATCATCATTCTATCGCTTCATATTGTTTCAAACTGTCGTTCTTCAAACTTGAAGTGTTCGAAGATGTATGAACACAAAAATATCCCTTGTAGTGTAATCGTTGTATTTCATACGTGTTTATTCACGTAGACAGAACATATACGGCGTACGGGATTGAGTGCAACACACGTTACATATTGCTCTGGATGCTTCCACTGTCCACAGTAAGGATATTTGGTCCCACACACCTCAAGATCTAGTGTCTGTGTCACAATCCCCGAACTGCAACATTTCCTTACGCCCTGCACTTTCTGTAATGCTGAAGCCCTAAATGAAACAAATCTACATTTCCTCAGGCTCAGAAATCTCCTATTTCACTGGTGCTGCTTTTCAATTTAAAAGGACTTTCTTGTTTCTATCAAACTAACATATATGCAAAGACTAAGCGTTGCTCTACAGGACCCACAACACTGCAATGAATGCCGCATGTGAGGTAGGAGGGCGGTCCGGGGACTGCAGAGAGCGGTCTAAATCTGAAACATTAGCAAATCTCGGTCCTTGGGACATGTCCATCAGTAAGGCATGCCATCGCAGCCGACTGCTTCCTTGGAGCATCGTGAGCAGACTGGCTACATGTGATTGTCCGTTAACATTTGTACATGGGTTTTTTGGTCTAATTTACGCCTGAAAACCTCCACACTCTTCCGGTCACTCTCTGGAAAATCAGCAGTCAATCAATTTTTATAAATGCTCCGTCGTCTTGGGGTTTTCTTTTCTATATGCCAGGCATCAATGCAATGATGGAAGATTGATAAGACGAATGACATAATATTATGTTGTTATATGCAACAAGATACCATTCACTACCCTTTATATGAACTACAGTTACTTTTTGTTTCAGCATTGTATTAGTTATATTCTGAGAAAAAAGATCCAATTGCTTTCATGACGACGTTATTTCACATCAAGCACACTCACCCGAGCCATAGATTCGGGTACGGTTTCCTATGGTACACCAAACTCGGTAGAGGGTAATTTTCAAAGGCTCGGTTTGCAGTTGCTGACATTAACGGTTGAAACAAAGTTTCAGAAAATATAACAGCTCACATGATAACATAGGGCGCAGTTAACATATGGTTGTAATATCAAAGTAATGAGTGAAGCATATATATATATAGTTTTTAGTTCCGCAGTTTTGTTCATGTCAATTTCATTATACAGCTGCATGCTGGGTTGAGCAAGCATATATTTCTTGCATTCATCTTTTAAGGCTGATGCATAAATTGATTCCAGAGTTTATACATTGTCAGCTTCAGCCAGACATACACATATATAGAGCAAAACCTTGTCGGAGTTTCAGCTCACTCGACACTTATGCAGATTATCAAATGTATGTTATTTAATCTCTGTTGTCAAAATAATACATTTTTTTAGTCCCCGAAAGTGCCTGTCGAATAGATAAACATGGCATATGGCTATTTTTATCCTTGGAATATTTACTTCAGGCAGTGGGCATGCATGTACAGTGATTATATTAAATGTTCGTATCAAGGCCACTCTTATACCATCTTCCTGTTGTGTAAAAATTATTTATGATGTGAACAGATACGAGTAAGATGTAAGAAAGGTAATGACTAACTAACAGTAATGACTAACAGTATAGCTCAACGATCTGGCTATGTGACCATTGTTTCTACTTCACTACACGTGGAAAGGACATAAATCGCAGCTGTGGCTAGTTGGTGTATGTGACCGCAGCCTTCATTGATCCATTACCGTGATTAGGATTCTTTGTGGTAGCGCGTTGAAATAAATCAAGTGTAATATTGAATGGTGTCACGGAAATGTCTGTCACATTCCTCTAAGGTTTATTTGCCTTTTGTATTTGATGCAACGACCGGCACATCTATGGCATCAAAGGTTGGACATTGCATACATCAGATTTAAGGTTTATATCTACTTTGTTAGCTAACAAAATGAGTCGGTACCCGACGGATTACTGTAACCATCCTAGAAAGACAATCAATTACGTACACACGTCTCAAATACTGTCGTTAGGAGGCAGAGAATGTACATGTACTGTCTATGCTGTAGGAAACCATCCTGCTTGCTGCCTGACAAACGTTGAATGAGATTTGGCGGCAAAGGGTGTAATTGTGACACGAGGAGTACCTTACTGACAACATGAGAATAAAGCTAAAACTAAATGAAGTTTTGATGACCCTACTGACACTACATTTGTGAGAAGGTGTGAACAGCACAGGTGGTGATCTGCGATTACCAACTTGGACGAGGTTTAAATGACTGTGGGTATTTTAAGGTGGTGGGAAAAGACTGTGCTGAGTAACTGGCGACGACATGTGTCAGCATACGGAGTTGATGTATGACTCCGACACATCCAGCAAGCCCAGCATACAGTAGCCATACAGCTCTCTTCACGGGACACAGGCAGTCAGATAGCCAGTATATACAAGACTCACAAAACCCACAAAGTAAGGCGTTAAATACTAGTACTCACAACCTAGGACATTATGTACCAGCATTCAAAAAGTAAGGCGTTATATTGTAGTATTCAAAATGTGGAACATTATATACCAGTATTCTCAATGTAGGACTTTATGTGCCAGCATTGAAAAAGCAAGACGTTATATTCTAGTATTAACAATATAGGACGTTATATGGATATACTCTCAATGTAGGACATTATGTACCAGTAATGACAAAGAAGGACTTTATATGCTAGTGTTCGAGCGGCGGGGTAGCCTACTGGTTATAGCAATCGCTCGTCACGCAAAAGACCCGGATTCGATTCCCCACTTGGGTACAAACTGTAAAACCCATTTCTGGTGTCTCCCATCGTGATAATAATCATATTGCTGGATTATTGATAAAAGCGGCGTAAAACTAAACGTACTCACTCACTATACTAGTGTTCACAATGTAGGAAGTTATATGCTAGTGTTCACAATGTAGACGTTATATGCTAGTGTTCACAATGTAGGACGTTATATGCTAGTGTTCACAATGTAGGACGTTATATGCTAGTGTTAACAGTGTAGCACGTTATATGCTAGTGTTCACAATGTAGACGTTATATGCTAGTGTTCACAATGTAGGACGTTATATGCTATTGTTCACAGTGTAGGACGTTATATGCTAGTGTTCCTATTGAGGACGTTATATGCTAGTGTTCACAATGTAGGACGTTATATGCTAGTGTTCACAATGTAGGACGTTATATGCTAGTGTTCACAATGTAGGACGTTATATGCTAGTGTTGACAATGTAGGACGTTATAGGCTAGTGTTGACAATGTAGGACGTTTTTGCTAGTGTTGACAATGTAGGACGTTATATGCTAGTGTTCACAGTGTAGGACGTTATATGCTAGTGTTCACAGTGTAGGACGTTATATGCTAGTGTTCACAATGTGGGACCTTATATGCTAGTATTCACAATGTAGGACGTTATATGCTAGTGTTCACAGTGTAGGACGTTATATGCTAGTGTTCACAGTGTAGAACTTTATATGCTAGTATTCACGATGTACGAAGTTATATGCTAGTGTTCACAATGTAGGACGTTATATGCTAGTGTTCACAATGTAGGACGTTATATGCTAGTGTTCACAGTGTAGAACTTTATATGCTAGTATTCACGATGTAGGACGTTATATGCTAGTGTTCACTATGTAGGACGTTATATGCTAGTGTTCACAATATAGGACGTTCTATGCTAGTGTTCACAATGTAGGACGTTATATGTTAGTGTTCACAATGTAGGACGTTATATGCTAGTGTTCACAGTGTAGGACGTTATATGCTAGTGTTCACAATGTTGACGTTATATGCTAGTGTTCACAGTGAATGACGTTATGTGCTAGTGTTCACATTGTAGGACGTTATATGCTAGTGTTCACAGTGTAGGACGTTATATGCTAGTGTTCACAATGTAGGACGTTATATGCTAGTGTTCACAATGTTGGACGTTATATGCTAGTGTTCACAGTGTAGGACGTTATATGCTAGTGTTCACATTGTAGGACGTTATATGCTAGTGTTCACAATGTAGGACGTTATATGCTAGTGTTCACAGTGTAGGACGTTATATGCTAGTGTTCACATTATAGGACGCTAAATGTTAGTGTTCACAATGTAGGAAGTTATATGCTAGTGTTCACTGTGTAGGACGTTATATGCTAGTGTTCACAATGTAGGACGTTATATGCTAGTGTTCACAATGTAGACGTTATATGCTAGTGTTCACAATGTAGGACGTTATATGCTAGTGTTCACAGTGTAGCGCGTTATATGCTAGTTTTCACAATGTAGGACGTTATATGCTAGTGTTCACAATGTAGGACGTTATATGCTAGTGTTCACAATGTAGGACGTTATATGCTAGTGTTCACAATGTAGGACGTTATATGCTAGTGTTCACAATGTAGGACGTTATATGCTAGTGTTCACAATGTAGGACGTTATATGCTAGTGTTGACAATGTAGGACGTTTTGCTAGTGTTGACAATGTAAGGACGTTATATGCTAGTGTTCACAGTGTAGGACGTTATATGCTAGTGTTCACAGTGTGGGACGTTATATGCTAGTGTTCACAAAGTGGGACCTTATATGCTAGTATTCACAATGTAGGACGTTATATGCTAGTGTTCACAGTGTAGGACGTTATATGCTGAGTGTTCACAGTGTAGAACTTTATATGCTAGTATTCACGATGTAGGAAGTTATATGCTAGTGTTCTGATAATGTAGGACGTTATATGCTAGATGTTCACAATGTAGGACGTTATATGCTAGTGTTCACAGTGTAGAACTTTATATGCTGAGTATTCACAATGTAGGATCGTTATATGCTAGTGTTCACTATGTAGGACGTTATATGCTAGTGTTCACAATGTAGGACGTTATATGCTAGTGTTCACAATGTAGGACGTTATATGTTAGTGTTCACAATGTAGGACGTTATATGCTAGTGTTCACAATGTAGACGTTATATGCTAGTGTTCACAGTGAATGACGTTATGTGCTAGTGTTCACATTGTAGGACGTTATATGCTAGTGTTCACAGTGTAGGACGTTATATGCTAGTGTTCACAATGTAGGACGTTATATGCTAGTGTTCACAATGTAGGACGTTATATGCTAGTGTTCACAATGTTGGACGTTATATGCTAGTGTTCACAGTGTAGGACGTTATATACTAGTGTTCACATTGTAGGACGTTATATGCTAGTGTTCACAATGTAGGACGTTATATGCTAGTGTTCACTGTGTAGGACGTTATATGCTAGTGTTCACAATGTAGGACGTTATATGCTAGTGTTCACAATGTAGACGTTATATGCTAGTGTTCACAATGTAGGACGTTATATGCTAGTGTTCACAGTGTAGGACGTTATATGCTAGTGTTCACAATGTAGGACGTTATATGCTAGTATTCACAATGTAGGACGTTATATGCTAGTGTTCACAATGTAGGACGTTATATGCTAGTGTTCACAATGTAGGACGTTATATGCTAGTGTTCACAATGTAGGACGTTATATGCTAGTGTTCACAATGTAGGACGTTATATGCTAGTGTTGACAATGTAGGACGTTTTTGCTAGTGTTGACAATGTAGGACGTTATATGCTAGTGTTCACAGTGTAGGACGTTATATGCTAGTGTTCACAGTGTAGGACGTTATATGCTAGTGTTCACAATGTGGGACGTTATATGCTAGTATTCACAATGTAGGACGTTATATGCTAGTGTTCACAGTGTAGGACGTTATATGCTAGTGTTCACAGTGTAGAACTTTATATGCTAGTATTCACGATGTAGGAAGTTATATGCTAGTGTTCACAATGTAGGACGTTATATGCTAGTGTTCACAATGTAGGACGTTATATGCTAGTGTTCACAGTGTAGAACTTTATATGCTAGTATTCACAATGTAGGACGTTATATGCTAGTGTTCACTATGTAGGACGTTATATGCTAGTGTTCACAATGTAGGACGTTATATGCTAGTGTTCACAATGTAGGACGTTATATGTTAGTGTTCACAATGTAGGACGTTATATGCTAGTGTTCACAATGTAGACGTTATATGCTAGTGTTCACAGTGAATGACGTTATGTGCTAGTGTTCACATTGTAGGACGTTATATGCTAGTGTTCACAGTGTAGGACGTTATATGCTAGTGTTCACAATGTAGGACGTTATATGCTAGTGTTCACAATGTAGGACGTTATATGCTAGTGTTCACAATGTTGGACGTTATAGTCTAGTGTTCACAGTGTAGGACGTTATATGCTAGTGTTCACATTGTAGGACGTTATATGCTAGTGTTCACAATGTAGGACGTTATATGCTAGTGTTCACAGTGTAGGACGTTATATGCTAGTGTTCACATTATAGGACGCTAAATGTTAGTGTTCACAATGTAGGAAGTTATATGCTAGTGTTCACTGTGTAGGACGTTATATGCTAGTGTTCACAATGTAGGACGTTATATGCTAGTATTCTCAATGTAGGACTTTATGTGCCAGCATTGAAAAAGCAAGACGTTATATTCTAGTATTAACAATATAGGACGTTATATGGATATACTCTCAATGTAGGACATTATGTACCAGTAATGACAAAGAAAGACTTTATATGCTAGTGTTCGAGCGGCGGGGTAGCCTACTGGTTATAGCAATCGCTCGTCACGCAAAAGACCCGGATTCGATTCCCCACTTGGGTGCAAACTGTAAAACCCATTTCTGGTGTCTCCCATCGTGATAATAATCATATTGCTGGATTATTGATAAAAGCGGCGTAAAACTAAACTTACTCACTCACTATACTAGTGTTCACAATGTAGACGTTATATGCTAGTGTTCACAGTGTACGGCGTTATATGCTAGTGTTCACAATGTAGGACGTTATATGCTAGTGTTCACAATGTAGGACGTTATATGCTAGTGTTCACAATGTAGGACGTTATATGCTAGTGTTCACAATGTAGGACGTTATATGCTAGTATTCACAGTGTAGGACGTTATATGCTAGTGTTCACAATGTAGGACGTTATATGCTAGTGTTCACAGTGTAGGACTTTATATGCTAGTGTTCACAATGTAGGACGTTGTATGCTAGTGTTGACAATGTAGGACGTTTTTGCTAGTGTTGACAATGTAGGACGTTATATGCTAGTGTTCGCAGTGTAGGACGTTATATGCTAGTGTTAACAGTGTAGGACGTTATATGCTACTGTTCACAATGTGGGACGTTATATGCTAGTATTCACAATGTAGGACGTTATATGCTAGTGTTCACAGTGTAAGACGTTATATGCTAGTGTTCAAAATGTGGACATTTTATGCTGGTGCCGTTATATGCTAGTATTCAAAATGTAGGACGTTATATGCTAGTATTCACAATGTATGGCGTTATATGCTAGTGTTCACAATGTAGGACGTTATATGCTAGTGTTCACAATGTAGGAC